CTATTCTGGTGAAGAAATGCTCGTCGTGCCAGCAGCCCTCCATGTTATCAAAGTCCACCCCGAGTCCCAGCAGAAACTTCACGCTGCGCGGGTCCAGGGCGATCTGCTGGGGTCGGCACAGCAGCGCGGTCCGGTACCTCTCATCCAGCACGGTCAGTTTCAGCACCTTCCCGGAGCGGACAGCGACCAGCGCGGCCGTCAGCCCCACGGGTCCCGAACCCACGATCAGCACCGAGATCCTGGCCCGCCACTGCCTGAAGCCGTCCAGGCTCACTTTGACCACGACGTACAGGGCCACGGCCACCAGGGTGCTCAGAGCGGTGTCATAGGCGAGGGCGCGATACTTTTCCTCCGCGTTCTCTCCGATGCCACCAACTCCGGCGTTTTCTGCCTGCAACGCGTCCATGCCGAGAGAGAGAGAGAGAGAGAGAGAGAGAGAGAGGAGGAGGAATTTCGTCAGTGTGTGCCAAGCCAGGCGGTGCCAGGAGCTGCGTCCTCCCTCGTTAATTAGCGGATCGTCCTCTCATTATCTTTGCATTCACGGTGAGAGAGAAGCAGGCGTTTGGATCCATGTACGCAGCCGGAGAGCAGCGGCGACTGGCCACATGCGTCCTCTCCGCTCAGTCGGCTGCAAGTTGAGTCGTCGCAACATCTCTCTCTCTCTCTCCCTCCCTCTCTCTCTCTCTCTCTCTCTCTCTCTCTCTAGCCTGGAGGAGTCAGGTGTGTGTGTGTGTGCGCGTGTGTGTGTGTGTCCACCCACAGCGCGTCAGCACCAAATGAGCAGTTTTGGTGCGTATCAGCATTTTACGCATAAATGTTTGCAAATCAGTCATTTGCCAGGACTTCACAGGATCACTGGCATGTGATTCCCCTCTCCTGAAGTTCAGTACATGCTCAGCAGTAAACTGCAGAGGCAGGACAGTGTGCTTTGGTTTTACTCTGTGAGAAAGTATTGATTTACTGTTGCTAAAACAAGAGGGATCGATTCTCTCTCCCTCACAGAGAGAGAGAGAGAGCCAGTAAACTTAACCTACTGTATAACCCCAAAGAAGTGACTCAGACAGATGTCCCCCTCTGATGTTTTCCAGCACTGATGTTGCACTCAGGGTTAGAAGACACATGCTATCAAATCAAAGTTATCAAATCAGTTGGTCTAAAGTTTCTGGCAAACATGAACATCCACAGATAAGATGAGAGGAGATGCTGCTGATTGTAGAACGCTCCTGTATCCCTGTGTGCCATGTATTTCCATTTATTTCCATTTAATTATCAATTAAAGGGCCATGTTTATCTGTAACTGCATCTGTTGTTGTGTGCCTCCAATTACAGCTTTTCTTTTCCTCGTCTCTCACCTCCTCTGTGAACTAAAGGAAGCAGCGGCCATGAAGACATTTCACCATGGCGATGGCCCTTCAGAGGAGAGGCCGGTTCACATGAAAAGATGTGGCGCTGCTGATGAAAATGTATTAAAGCGACACACTGAGAAAAACAGAGCTGAGATGAGGATGCAGACTCTTTGCTCTTTTCGTTTCTGTTTTATATGAAGAGTTCATTTGCAAAAACAGATAACTCCATCCTCACAAACCTTCAGAAAACCAACTTTTCCATCGTCTACCTGAGACAATATCAATCAAATCTGAGTTATCTCTATTTTTGTCATTTCTACTGAGTCAAATCCACTTAACTTCAGTTTGATTGATATCATCTCAAGCAAACAACAAAAAAAAGAAAATAAGTTGTCTGAAAACCTACAAAAGCTCTTCATATTTAGTTTCGATTCAGCACGCTTTATAGGCATGTTAGTGGGTTAACGTTACTGCCGAAGCATCAGTGATGGTGTGATTAAAAAAAGAGGTGAGGATATTAAAAAGAAATAAAAACACAGTTCATTAGGTGAAATAAAAAGTGAATAAAAGGATTAAAAAAAACATAACATGCATGCCATATGTATAATAGGCTATGTGAAGATATTTGTCATATTCTGTGATTTTTTATAATTCTGTGTCCTTCAGCTTGTAACATGCAGCCACATATAGTGCATCTAAATATGCTGCATGTGTCTCTTCTAAGAGTCTTTTGCTTTTTATTGTCATGTGTAAAGTTCAGGATCAACAAGTGCAACTTCTTAAAGTGTAACTGTCCCATATTAGTGTTTTTTGGTAACATTTTAGGAGAGCATGCACCTTGTTTCTTCTTCGCCTGTCGTGCACTGACCATCGACTCTTCTGCAAGTAGGCACAACTTCTTCTGTTCTTCTTTTCTCTACAGCAAGACTCACTCAGAATGTGTCTCTGCTTTGTATCTCTGAAAGAAAAGAGACATATCTGCCAATTTATACTCTTGGTTTAGGGCCAGACAGCAGCGAAGATTGTCGACCCAATATTCCAGATCACTGTATGGACAAGAGACCACAGCAGACCAGGGCTCCCTTCACCTAAACCACATTAACTAATAACAAACAAAAAGATTGATGGATAGATTAATATTTGCTAACAGCATTTGGCGACACGTTCTCTCATCGAAACCCTGCATCACTTTTCTTTTCTGTGCCGCCGCCGCCCCCTCCTGAGTGACTCTAATGCGTCACATTCATCACATGCTTTAGCTTTTTAACTAATGCTCTGACCTTTAAGCCCCATTTGAGCCCTGCTAATAAAATGAACACTTTGAAGGTGGTGATGACATCCATTTACCTAAGTGACTCCTCCAGATAGAAGCCAAAGCCCTTTTTTTTTTTTTTCGGTAGACTGACAACTCGTTTGGAATATTTGTCTCTGACCACGAAAAGAATGGCGTGTAAATGTATAAATCCATTCGCATTGTCAAGGATCCAGGGAGAAAGTAAAAGGGGAGGAAAGACAAACAGCGAGAGAGAGAGAGAGAGACATATTGGTGTGACACACTATACCTCCACCGGTAATTGGTTTCCACCTCTACTCAGGTGCCTGGCAACGATCATGCTGTCCAGCCAGTCCAGATGAAAAGAGAAATGAAGCTCTAATTACAGTTAAAACCGGCAAGTTGGCAGGCAACAACAGACAAAGCATTTCCAGGGACACGAGTGGAGAGTGTTCACCTGGAAATGAAAGGATGGGATGAAATATTCTTTAATGATGCACTGATGATCACCAGATGGAGGCAAACTGTGATCTTTAAGTTCATGCTGAATTCGGTAATAAAGATGCACCTTTGAACACACTGCATGCATTAAACATCTGTGGACGGATTTCTTTTTTTAACCTACAACGAGATTAGTTGTAGAGTATCTCATCTTGCTTAAGTACCCCATGACATAGTGTGCCATGAAATAATAAACTGGAAAACAATTAAGCATCTAAACAACATTTCTTGCTTTGATTTCCACATTGGCATGCTAATGTATGCAGTTACACGGGGGTGATGGAGATAATCCCACCATGAAGACTCGGGGATTTGAATGTGTTAATGGCGCTGAGTGGATCCCTCACACGTCCCGCGCTCACAACAGCCCTGTGCCTGAACAAAAGGAGCTCAGAGAGCAGTTTCTTTTTTGTTTTATCGGCTTTCCCACATCTTGCGGACAGTAATGGGGCCGTGCACGGCTCTGAGGTCATTAGACAAAAAAAAAAACAACTTGGTCCCCCCACGTAATGAATACAAACCCTCATTGTTGTCAGGGAGTTCAGGCAGTAGTAAATAAATCAGCATAGGGAGAATGGGATGAGGCCACCTATTAGTTTGCATCCTTTTCAAACTTATCTGAAAGGTTTGGACAGACTGGAATGACGTGAAGACAGTCAGATGCATCCCAGCATCGTGTTTGGATGCCACAAGGAAAAAGATTGTCAGAGAAAGTTACTCCGAAAGTCCAACATGTACTCGTTCAGTGATTCTTTAGACATGATTGCAAACTTGTAAAACCCACATAAATGCTCATTGTTGCTACATCCACACACGCCTCTAAACTCCTTCATCATTTTGTTTCTCTACCAGCAAGAAATTTCTTGATATGCTCAGCCTAAGCAGCCTCTCTGCACAATTTCTCCCCCACTGTGCTTGTTCCACAAAAAAAGACACGTCGTCCCTACGGCCCACTGTGTCAGCATGTGTTCTGGACTGATCAGTTTGACATCCGAGTGAGTAACAATGTGTTTCTCACCAAACACCGTGTTAAGTACTGAATAACTTTTACAGTACGTTATTAGATCACTTCGGATGGTAACTTCGCTCCTTTGTGTTGTGGTTCTCACCCAACATACCAGCGGTCTGGGAGATAACAGAATTCAACTCAAAGGTACAACAACAGGACAGAAAGAAGTCTCTTGTTATTTTACAACTATCTGCAAACACTTCCCATTGGACCATCATTTCAAGGCCTTGGCAAACACCACTGCTGACAGTGACGCATCGGATTAGACTGAACCGAAGCCAAAATATTTAGCTTACTTTTTTCTCAAGGACGGGTAGAAGAAAAAAAAAAGCCTCCATGGATAAACGTAATCGCTTCCAATCTGGTTATTTCTTCATTTTAAATGTCCCTACACTGTAACTGCTACAAGGGAAATGTCATATTTACTGTGGGTTTTGTTAAAGCCGGGAAACTTCAGAGGAAAAAAAAAATCCAGCACTATTTTACGGTGTTTGCACTGCCAACTGTCAACCTGCCCAGCTGAGTTTCCAAATAGTGATGTGTTCAGAGCTGACAGACTGAAACTGCGGTGACGTGGGTTCAGGCAGCCAAGAACATACTATCACCACAAGGAGCAGATCAGATCACCATGGTTACTCAGTGTAATAAGGTCAGCGCATGACGCTGGATGTTACCCGTCTTAGCAGGGCTTCCATCAGCAATCAGTCGTTGCGAAATCTAGTTTTTGCACAAATAATGCTTCGGATTGCCGTCCAGTAGCGCACATAATAGGACACTGATTCCTTAATTATCTACTTGCATCTGACTAGTGTGCTCCTAATGAATTCTTAAGTAACACAGTGGGCAATAAATATTCTTACCGAAGCATGCGATGGTGATAGTTCTTTATTAGAGAGAACGCTCCTCTGCAGACACGTCTTTCTTTCCTAATGACAAAACAAACTATGGTGACTAAAAATAGTCCCATTCAGCAGTCCAGCTGCAGAAGGCGAAAGAGGAAAATCTCGACAATTACAGAGCAAAATTTATCTTGAAAGGGGAAATTAACTTTTCACACAGCATAAAAACTAACAATCCCGACAGCTGGTATAATAAAACTGAACTTTATTTTCCCACTAAGATGGCACAGTGACACGTTGATTGGTTTCACTATCTGCTGAAAACATGTACATAGAAATTAAACTGCAGTAGTTACAGCATGTCAATATGTGTTTCTCAGGTGTAATAAAACTTACACTACTTCCTCTTTCCAAAAGGCTTTCCACAGCATGAAAATATCTTTTTAAAAAGCCAATATTAAAGCGATACCTTTTCTGTTTTTTATAGCCGAGAACAGTAAATGAAGCTAAAACTCCACACTTTTTAATATTACCTGCATTTATGTACATTTATGTTCTCAGAAACTGTGAGGACTTGTGGCTGCAAAAATGGCATGACAGGCTTTCCCAGAAGTCAACGAGGACCAGGCTAGCAGGACTCAAGGGTTTACTGAGTGTGCTCCAGTTAAATCTGAGAGATTTGTGTAACACTTATAACTTGGCATAATTTCGACTGTATTTAACCGGACTGACTCACCCCACTCCTGTTTAATTATGCATTTCCTCGGACAGTAATCCCCTGAGAAATGCATGCGTGCCTGCAGGCCCCTTAGCGTAGAAGATTTAGACAATTCTCTGCCACAACCACCAGGTCAGTCGCACCAGAAACCAAAACTGAGCTTGTGATGGACTCAAAAGTCTGCGTCAAGGCAAAGTTAAAGAGCATTGTACTCGACACACTTCGAGGGATCGGTGGTGAAGTGTTTCTGGCAGATAGTCATTAGCCTCTTCAGTCCCTGTAGAGAGAAAAATAAAAATAAAGCGAGCAAAATTAGCTGCGAGTGAAACGTATTAAAAAGGGTCAGCTATAACCCACTTTATGAGTTCAAGTAGATTCACTTCTTAACCTGACTAGCATCCTTTGTTTTAGACTAATTCTAAATTCAAAAACTATGTTATATATCGATACACAATGCTTACAGCAGTTTAGGAACTACCATAGACTGTATAAAAGATGGACGTAGCAACCGGTCCTGAAAAATGAAGCCAAACCCGGAAGTGTCAAAAACCTGCAATATCACGAGGTCCGCTAGTCCTGGCTCCAAAAAGCCCTGGCTCCCATAGAAATGAATTGGAAAAGAAGTGATCACAGATCACGAAATACCGCATTCCTACAGCTCAGGATTTTTTTCTTATTAGTTTTCATAGTCAAATCCAGAGATCAGGTGGCCAATCTGAAAATAAATCAATACAGAATTTTTAAAAAATTGTCAACATTTTGCGGGGCAAGGGGCGTGGCTGGCTTGATTGACAGTCGGCAGCGACCATACAGACGAAGCGAGCAGAAGGCGGTAAATGTGGGTGGGCAGAGAGGGCCTGCCTCTCAATCCGTCTGACCAATCACTGCTCCTATGGTTCCGCCCCCGTCTGACGATTTTTGCGGCTCCAAAAATCCAAGATGTCAACCAGGAAGTAGCAAAACCCTGGCTTCATTTTCTCAGCGCAGAAACCAACGGGTGACGTCACGGTAGCTACGTCCATCTTTTATGCAGTCTATGGAACCTACACAGTTACAATCAAATCATTTAACAGTGTGGCGTATGTGAACATTTTTCTGAAGACTACATTTTAATGATGATTTGCCACTTAGCATGGGACAACGTCAACATCACCATCATCCTTCAACGGTTGCTAGGTTGCGAGTGATCCTATTAAATTTGACAAAACAAATCCCAAACCACCAAGCATCTAGATGTCACATGGGGTCTCACCTGAATGTACTTCCTCTGCGTCTCGTCATTGAGAACGTGGGCCACGTGTTTGGAGAAGATCTTTTCTCGTCCGGTACGGGCGTGGATACCCACCATCGTCACACCGATAGGCCAGGGAGCGTTGCCGATAGCCATCTGTAGATATGCGTCATTTGCCTGAAAAGAGCGTCCACTTTGTTAAAACACGCAATAACAATAATTTGTAGGAATAAAAAGCGATGCGTGATCTTAACATACCTTGACATATTCTCTCTCCAACATGAACTTAATGATGTCTGTGATCGACTCTTTGATGTCAGCTGGCAAACTCTGAAAAAGGTGACAGTAAAATAAGACAAATGTAATCCACGCCTCATGAACCGCACACTGTAGCTTGTTTTACTCTCCCCGCTACCTTCTTCCTGAGCTTCCTGAAGAGAGGCTTGAGGTACGACTCAGTCTGTGAGTGTGTGGCGCTGGCCAGCTTCCCCTGAACGCTGCGCTTCACGTGGTCTTCTCGGCTGTTCAGATCTTTGGCCCAAACACCGAGAAGAAACTGGAATCAAAGAGGAAATATGGCTTTTGAGAAAAGGTTTCCGACAACTACATTAGTGGCCCACAGTGGACAGATTATTTGTTTTGGACAGGTCGTGCGAAAACACATCACCATAACATCATAAAGAATTCATCTAAGTAATAATCCATTTAACAAAAAACAATTCAACAACATAAATAAGTGAAGACAAACAACATGACCAGCAACTACAGTAAGTGGTGTAAACATTTTCAATCCAACAGCTCCCTCTAGATCAAAGGCACGGCATGATTTTCTTTCCTTACACTCAAAAATTTGTCGATAACATCCTGGTCTCCATCGTCATCACCTGTACCCAGCGTCTTTCCAAGAGCCTACAGGACAATTTCAATATTAAGAGACAAAATACACAACATTAACTGACAGACTCCCCAAAAAAAAGAATATTTAACAGCAACAGTTCATCAAATTTTTTAAATTACTGTCTCGCAAGAAACGTGTCTGAAGTTTGATCAGATTTAATCATTTCCATATTAACCGGAGAACACTTCTCCCATCCCAACACTACACTGTGCAGCGTACCTCAAGTTCTTCTATGGTGGTGTTTTCTTCGTGCACTTTCAGATCATGCTGTGTGTCCACTTCCCCTGGCTCTGTTCCTCCAACGATCTCGTTCAGGTACTGCTGGTCGATCTTGTCCATGGCTGCCTTCAGGTCATTCCTCAAACCCTAGACACAGACACAGCAGCACATATGGCCGAAATCTAAGTGACACTCAGCAGAAAAAAAATGACTTTTAGCCCGAGAAATGCCACAGAACAAATGGAAACACCAAGCTTACATTATTAGAGGGCCTATTAACAGAAAGGTTCTAAAAGTAGTCACTGTCCATTAGCTACAGCACGCTAGCAGAGTTAGCTTTGAGAGCTGGACAGAAACCCAGAGTGCATAAAGATGGATGAACGCTCTGTGATATTTACTGATGAGCGGTTTTAAAAGCTCAACGTCGTGCTCTGACCATTCTGGCGGTACCAAACCCTCGTTAACTTCCGGCTATTTCCTGAATCAGCTAAGAGGCGGAGCGTAAGTGGAGATGAGGCAGGCCATGCAAACCTCTCAGGGCCATAGGCTGGCCTATGATGACACCGACCTAAAGTTAGCTGTGGAATTTGTCTTTATTGTATTTGGATTATATATTTTATTGTGGGCTGCAAGGTGGCTCGGTGGTTAGCATTGTTGCCTCGCAGCAAGAAGGTCACCGGTTCGCGTCTCGGTGAGGACACCCGGGATCTTTCTGCGTGGAGTTTGCATGTTCTCCCCGTGCAGTGTGGGTTCTCTCCGGGTTCTCCCGCTTCCTCGCACACAGTCCAAAAACATGTTGAGGTTAATTGGTGATTCTAAATTGTCCGTAGGTGTGAATGTGAGTGTGCTTGGTTGTCTGTCTCTAAGTGTAGCCCTGTGATAGACTGGTTACCTGTCCAGGGTGTCCTCTGCCTTCACCCTGAGTCAGCCCCCCATGACCCTAGTGAGGATTAAGCGGTGTAGAAATAATGGATGGATATTTTATTGTATTCATTGTATGTATTTATCACAGAAGTCTAGAAGGATGCCATCGCTTTCATTGTCAGCTTCAAGTGGCCAATCATGGCAGTTTTTAGTTCTCCCCCTTTGGCTTCATTTTGTAGCCCTGAACCACTTGTGCACAACCTGTGCTGGTTGTATTAAGCATGTATGTTTTTTTTGTTGTTTTTTTTTTTAAACCACACGTTACTTTGGTTTTTCCTTTACAGCCAGAATGTGCGACCCCCTACAATCATGCTGTCTGGGTATATCAATCAGTTTTACCAGCAGCAAAATCAGCAAAGGTTTTAGTCTAAATGTAGACATAAAGAGAGAAAGGGTACATTTGAGAAAGCTTTGAAATGTAAAATTGCATTGATGGCTTTAATGGTAAAATATAAAGATGCTGCACTTTCCTCATGAATTTTTTTTCTTTTAAACATTTTCTAAAATTGTATACGTGATAGTTTAGCTCCAAGTCTTTTCATTTTGACAGTTTACAGCCTTCTAGTGCCTCAACTGTTAATAAAATGTGGACAGTTAGGCATTTTTGATTTATTTTAGTTTTAGGGGGAAAAAGTCAAACTTATTTGTTTTTTTCTGCTTTACTGAAAACATACCAAACTCCAAAACCGAGGTTCATACAGAACTGTGAATCGTGTGACGAGGTGAGTTGAGGGCCCAGAGTGAGTTTCTTTCTAAATCTGACAACTGGATGTCGAGTTCAACCTCCACAAACACTCGATCATACCTTGTTTACTTCTGGGGTCAGAATCTCAATTTTCCTGAGTCTCTGGAAGGCGTCATAATCAGACTCTCCAAACAACCGGATCGGTTCCCCCCGCTCCCTAAGCCGTCGAATAACCTACACAAACAGAGCGAGACAAAATACATATTTATAATGCAATATGGGGAAACTAAATTATTCAGAGGGAGGAGCTGCTGCTATACATGGACTCACCTCCTGCCGCGACAATGTCATCGGCAACTTCTCCTCCGTCAGTTCCAGCTCTAACACTGGATTCGCTGAAGTGGATGGTTCGTCTTCCTCTGCCTTGTCAATCTTCAGGGCAACATAGAGGGAACAAAAATTTGCTGACGTTACTGGAGGAAGGTTGGTGGTAATGTGGAGGTTCAGAGTTTGATCATGTCAACCCTGCTCTTTCTGAGCCAAGGCAAATAAAACTAACACAACTGAAATCCGTGAAAAGCATCGGCACTGTCTTCATGAGATAAGACCTTAAGACTGAAAAGGATGTGTCACTGAAGTGAATTACATCGCACGCATTCACATCCCTATCAAACCTGCAGCTCTTCTAGAAAGGCAAGTAGTAATAACTTACCGATAATGAAAAATGTAGCAAATATTACTTACATCACAAAACTTTAATTTAGTGGAATTTACACACTGGCTGCAGCACATAAAGTCTAATCCCAGGTTCAACAAATTCAGTGGGTTTTTTTTGCAACAAGAAAACTTAAAATATAGTACCAGAACATGCTTTCGTGGGCACATGCATCCCGGCACTCTTAGATTGTGGTTTAAGAAGCACAATCTAAAAGAACAATCAGGAAATGGCAACAAAAAGCCTTCCAAACAAACAATGGCTCTTGCTCAAATAAACAATGTAGAACTACACAAAGAGAATAGCTGGAGAAGTTTCATATTTTAAGCTTTGAACAGAAATACAATCTCTCATAGAGCGACTGTTAGAAGGCGGTGCAAACTAGTGACACAAAACCAGGGAACACTTAAAAGTTAATTCAAATAATTAAAGCTTCTGTCACAAATTATTTGCAAAATAAGAAGCGCAGCTTGATAACGAAAAAGATTTTTTTTTTATTTCAGTTCAGTATCCCATGCTGAAATCCACACCGCAGCTGTGTCCCACTTTGACTTTGTGGCTTCCTTTCCTTGTTTCCTTGCTTGAAAGGTTTTACTGGCGACACACTCTGACACACACAAAAAAAGTCTAATTTTCAAAATGACATTTAACAGACTAAATTTATCAAGCGGTGACATTTTAGCATTCGTACATAAAATGATTACATGTTTGCTTACTAACTGAGCTGAATTTATCGAAGCTCGTTGTACCAAAACATCCAGTCCTCGTGGGGTCATTTGTAACAAACCCCACTGGAACATGGCCTCCACAGTGTTAACTCCTGCTTTCATCCTCACAGGCTTCAGTAAGGGAACTTTCAGAAAGGATGCCAAGGAAGTGGAAGCTGTTGGGACACAGTGTGTTTTTATCCTTTTTATCATGCATCCTGTTTGCTGCTTTCACTGTGCAATCCCATACCTGGCTCTCAGGAGTCTCTCTCTGAACCTACAGATGCAGGCAGCAGAGGCAGGTTGGGGAAAAACAGTACAGTAAACACAGATACAGACACTAACACCTGAGCATCAATGCCTGACCTTATTTTTGGTTTCTGAGCAAAAAAAAGTTTAACTACACATTTTTTTTGGAGAGTCATACGAAATACAAGACAAAAGTGAAGTGAAGAAAGGCAGTGCTTTAGATATGTTGAGGTGTGTTAGAGGAAGAGACAGAGAGTGATGCTGACATCAACCTTGTATCCACATCTTCTGAAATAATCTTCTTGTTCCTTTCGTGCAAGATCTGCCCTTTTAAAGAACCTTTTGGAGTCCTGGAAAAAGGAAGATAATGAGCTTGTTTAGCACTTTGAATCAAACTTTATGTACATTACAGTGACAAGATCATACTAGTGGTGCAGCCAGGAGCGACATGACACACTCATAATAAAGACGCCATATGCAGATTCTTTCTTTTACAACCACATTGTATCTTCAGAACAAAACAGATTCAGTAATTGATTTAACAAACTCCTCCATTTAGCTACACACTCCTTATTGTATTTGGTAAACTGAGCTAAAACCAATACAGTAGAACACTTAAAATCTGCAATAAATAATACCTTTGTGAATGTTCTGTTCGGTTTTTGTTGACAAGTTTTAACTTTATGGTCATCTTAGAGGCTGCACTTTGTGTTGCTGATCTGCTGAACTGCACAGCACTACAAAAGAGATTCTACTGATCACACAACCACCACCCCTTTAAAGCTAGCTATATGTTAGATATGTTAACCCCGTATATCCCCAAACGCAGCCATAGATCCTCGGGTGGTCGTTCCAAAGTCGAGGCTCAAATCCAAAGGATGTGAGGGCCCCTCGGCTTTGGAACGACCCACCTGAGGAAATAAGGCTTGCAGATTCAGTATCTTCTTTTAAAACCCACTTTTACAGACTCGCTTTTGAGTGATGTTCTCTTTTAGATTTTCACCCGTTTCTTTTCCCTTTTTATATCCATACTGCCTGCTGCCCTTCTCTCTCTTCTCTTTCTTAATCTACTTTTATCATACTTTTATCTTCAGCTTTTATCTTAATTCCCCTCTGTGATGTCGTCTTTTTAATCAGCTTTACTGGTACACATTCCAATAGTGACCCAGCCTGTTCTTTTCCATTTTTATTGTGTGTATTTTTACATTTTGAGTGTTTGCCTACATGTTGTTTACCTTGTCTCTGTGTTGTAAAGCACTTTGTGAACTCTGTTCTTAAAAAATGCTTTACAAATAAAGTTAATTTATATTTATTACACGTGTTTCAACTATTTACACGACCCTTACTGATATGACTGGCATGGCGTAAATATTAGAATCAGCAGTCAGTTGAATGCAGTCCAGTTCAGCAGCATCAGGTACTACATCTTCCTAAATCACCACACTGTTGAATCAACATTTCTCTGAGACATTTACAACAAACTTTGACCATTTTAACTTTATGAAGACATAATAATTGCAGGACTTCCTGCATTAGCCTACATTATTTTTAACTGAGTGTGCCTAACAAACCATCATTTGAGTGCATGTAACATCACAGTGCATGTGAGCACCATACCAACTCAAATGATAAAGGAAATTCTTCCAAAAGAAATCTGATTTTGAGGTGTCATGACCTGAAGTAAAAAACCACTGATCACTCCTGCTGCACTGACAGACATCACTCCAAGCATGCAATCAGTCAAGCACACTAAATGAAGCTTAAAATTAAAAATTTCAATACATGTCAAATGCATACTTTGTTCCTGCACAGCCCATCTGTTGTTATAGTTAAACAGTTTTACTAATTCAGCATGAATATCAAGGTGAGCATCAGGATTTCCGTCTACAGTGTAACGCTCATGCTACTAGCTAACATTTGCTAAATCCAACAGCTACAAGTTGATGCTTCACCGACTAAACTTAGTTTTACCTTCTATTTTACGATTTGTTCAGTCCTGTATGGATACATTTATCAATACTAATAAATAAACATCATTCTGGAAAGGCAGTGTTGACTGATATAGCAATAAAAACGAGCTAACTAGCACCACGGCTAAGCTAACAGCTAACAAAAACAAGCAGCTCCTTCAGAAACTTACGTCCACGAGCTGCTTTTCTTCGAGCAGTTTTCTCTTCCGCGCGATTTCAGCTTTAAGTATGTCCATTTTAGAGCAGTATTATGGGATGTTCTTCCTTTACTTTTAACCACACATGTAAGTAAGACTGTGGCCACAATGCTAACACATCACCTTAACAGACCGGGGCACGGATTTCAGTATAAGAGTCCTCTGACTTTGTTAACTGTTTCAAAATAAAAGCGTGAAAAACTAAACATAACTCTGGGCTACTGACTCTGTCGGTGTTATTTTAGTAGAGATTTTTAATAGATATAAACACAAAGATCTGACACTGTCTTTAGGAGCCTTACAAAACAACAAGAAAAAGTGTTGTGCAGTTTTTTTTTTAAGTTTTAGTCACTATTAGACATTTAAGAATCTCATAAATTAAAATTTTATGTGTCAAACAAGTTTCACATCAAAAGCAAACGAGTAACTAGGCTGCTAAAAAGCAAACTGATGGCTATAATTACAAAAAATGTTCTCCTCCATGTCCACAACAATTTTAAAAAATGCTATCCCAGGGTTATATGATAAACTTTTTCACAAAATTACACGATTTAAATACAGATTTAAATACACATCTAAATCATAAAAGTCTTCTGATTGCAGCAAGGCCTACAAGTTTCTCCTCTAGTCACTGTAATGAGACACTCTGCAGGTTTTAAATATAAATATCCCAGCTGTTTTTAGTACATGTATGAATTCAATACTTCAGAATTAAATGGGAAAATTCAAGTCAAGAAAGAGCTTTTATTGTTGGATCTGGTTTATTAAAAAATCACACAGATTCCCTGCAAGCCAAAGCAGATCTCTTCATGGAGCACTATCTATCCATCAACCTGAGCTTTATACAGCTTTGATTTACTACAACCTGACTGTAATTTTCACAGTTTATTGCACATCGTCCTCATATCTTTCTGCAAGGTGGCACGCTTTAGATTTAACAGGTGATGCTGAAGGATCATATCTGATCATTCTCTTCCTCCAAGAAGAGGGGAAAGTTGTGATTTCACCTTTTGTATATCTCCAAAGCCCAGTTTTTGTCTTGAGAATGATAGAAATGATGGGAAAAGATATTCAGCTGCCCATGAGTGACTCAGTACCACCTCCTGTTTTCTACCAGTGACTGTAGATTGTGTGAGGTCACAACTAAAAGGGCAAAACACCACATAGATGTCCCTAAAAACACACATATACAAGCTGAGTTTTTACCAAAATGAGATGCAACGTTTAATTGCACTGATAAGAATTTGAGAAACTAGGAGGAGGAAAAAAAAAAAGTTCCTGTTTGCTGCCTCAGTTCTGCTCTCATTACAGCTTTTGTTCAAACACCAGTTCATTGTCTGGACACTAGTGGCAAATGTCTGACTCGACCTTTTAGATGAGAACATACCATCAGGTGGCGCAAAGGGATATGTGACGAATTTTTAATATTAAAGTCATTAATTTATTTACATGGCGAAAGGGAAGAACCAGCATCATGTTGGGAAGGAGATCAGATCGTACAACAGCGTTTATCAGCTCCTTTTTTAGGCTCAACGCGGTGAAAAAATCCGCCGATGACAGGATATCTGTAGCGCAGCCTGAGGAGAAATTTAACTGATTAATGAGGCAGACGGACAAGCGATTGTGCTGAGTCTATCCTCATCTCTCGTCTTTCTCAAGAGCGACATATCGACCGCACGACTTGCTGAATTATTTTCCCCCCCTCGCGAAGATGGAGTTTGGGGAAAGGAAGAGGAGAAGGAAGTCGCAGAGCTATAAACTGGTCACGGATGAAGGTAGGCTGCTGGATGAATGCAAGACCTTGCAAGACGCGCGTCTGTGTCTGGGTGTTTGTCTGGCGCTGTGTGCCAGCGCAGGCGACTCTGTAAACAAAAGCGATGGCCACGACAAAGCCCAGTCTGTGGCTCGGTTATACCCAACAGACAACTCTAATGATTCAAGTCTTACATGTGAGAGAAAAAAAAAAAAAAAACATTCCTGGATCTCAACCTCAACGTGGCTCATTCCGGTTTGATTTGTAGGAAAGAGAGCAAATAATCCCAAATGTGAAAACATGTTGCGCATTCTTGACATGTACCACGCAGCTGAAAGTGTTCACTTTTTTTTTTTTTTTTGCTGGAAGCTCGGAGCTCCAGACCACCTCTCCTGACTACACTACTTAATACCACCTACAGGTGGTGGTTTCTGCATGGGATGGGGGGGTGTCTGCTTTGGTTGACATCACAGCCCATCAGCCTGCACAAGCTCCAACATGACAAGGCAGAAGGCTGCAACACTGTTCTGCAACACCTGTCACACACATGCAGGGGGTTTGTTTCAGGCTGCACTTCACACCACCACCTCTCTGTCACTCTTGCAGATTTCGACCCTTCATATATGATGAACTCCAGCTGCAAAGATGCCAATGGCGTCCCCAAAGATGCTGCCGTGCCTGATGGTATGAGCCATTTTGATAATTAATAATATATCGTGGCAGATATCTCTAATTATGCCCCCCACCCATTTTTCTGTCTCCCTCTCTCTTAATGCAGTTTGGCTGGGGGATGAGGGCATGGAGATCAAAAGGCAAATCACAGGGATGATGAGGCTTCTGAGTGATAAAACCGGCAGGGTGTATCAGCGTGTTGGAGCGGAGCAGGACGGATTAACAAAGGAGCCCCAGGACAGACATCAGAACTGGGCGCATCAGCCCGGACTTTTATCTCTGGCGTCAGAGGACCACCAGAGCAACAGCTGGAACTCTGCGGGGGACCCGGGGCCCTCACCTTCATCCATATCCACCTCCGTCCCCAACGGTCCAGGCTGCGGACAGTACAGCACTCGCTCCAGAGCCCTCAGGATCCTCAACAACACAAAGGATTTAATTAAAGTGAATGAAGCTAATGGTAGGGAGACAGTGCATGTGTGAGGAGAGGTAACCAAAGTTAAATCTTGTTACCCAACATTAAGATGATTGTCATTTGTGAAGCAGACATTTAAAGATGTTGGCAAGTTTATCCATGCACACGTATGCAGTTTTGCTGTCAGAGGTACCGTATGAAAGCACGTGTGTGAGCATCCGAGTGAATGATCACTAACAAACGCATCACTGATTTTCCAGCAGACGTGGTCCCCCCCGCAGTGCCAGAACCCCCCTGCTGCATGTGTAACTGTAAGGGCACCCTGCAGGCTATTTTGCAGGAGCTACGTGCCATGAGGAGGCTCATGCAGACTCAAAAAGGTCAGCAGATGAACACGAACACACACCGCGAGGGTGAGTAACGGAAATAAAAGAAAAAAAAAATCCAATGCATTTGTGTCTCTTTTGAAGCATCCTTGGAAAGGCAGGAACAGACAGCATCGCCATGCCAACCTCGTCTTGGTCCAGGTCCCACCCCTCGCCGGAGGCCCCGAAAGAGGAGGCCGATCTATAAGGTGGCTCCGCTTACTGTAACAAGCACTCGAAGAGCTGCCCTGAGCCCTCTGGAGGCGTCGCCGCTTAAAGCCGCACCTGCAGAGACCGGAAAGAGGGAGGAATGCGAGAAAGACTCATCCACACCCAACACTCATCCCGTCTCCTCTGATGTTTCTGTGCTGCCACCTCAGACTGATCCAGTCAACGACACGCACACTCCTCTGCTGAAGCAACTAAAGGAGCCTCAAGCGTTAGAGGTAACCTGCATGCTGGTGCTTTACTGTAGCTTTATTTATGATTCTATCCCACTGCACTCTCTCCCTCATGAATTTTAACTTAATTTTCTGATGAATTACTGCACATTTACACTCTATAATATCAAGTGACTTGCTGCGTCGCTACGAGAAAGTTCTGTGCAACCATCCGCATGACTTGTTTTACAATGAAATCTTGAGTTAAGGCTCGTGCAGATGGCAGTGACTCATGTACAGCAGTTTGTGCGTTCTCTCTCTCTCTCTTTTTCCTTCTAAAGACTGAATTTATCTCAGGTTTCAATCGATCATTTTCCCATAATCCTTCATTACGTGTCGTTCGACTTCCTTCACAGTCTGAGGTGCGTCTCGCGGAGGATTATGATGTGTTTATCTCAAAGGCACAGCTGGACTCCATTCTGGTCAACTATACGCGCTCTGGCAGCCTGCTGTTCCGGAAACTGGTAATGATTAAGAGAAAATTCAGTGTCCCTTTGATTATGTTTAATGCTGCAGTTATGTGACCAGGTGTAAAAATAGACACCTATCATTAAAACTAAGTTCACTACATTGTCAGCAAAGTTTTAATATAGAACTGGTCAGGAACTGTGCCGTGTGTTCAGGTGTGTGCCTTCTTTGATGATGCCACTCTGGCCAACTCCTTGCCGAACGGTAAGAGGAAGAGGGGCCTCAATGATAACCGTAAGGGCCTGGACCAGAACATCGTGGGAGCCATTAAAGGTAGGGGAGGGAAAGATGGAAACGCTTTGGGTAGCAGATTACAAAAATACAGACTGAAACTCGAGCATGATCGTGTGACTTGTGGCCAGTGTTTACAGAGAAATACTGCACTGAGAACAGAATAGAGAAGCTGCCTGGACCACGAGACTGGGTGCAGATCCTTCAAGATCAGATCAAACTCGCAAGGAGGAGGGTGAAAAGAGGTAGTTTTTTGTTTCTCTGAAATAAATATATGTTTATTTTGCTTGTATTTTATGTAATATTAACTTTCTAGGGGCTGCAAAGTGGCTCGGTGGTTAGCACTGTTGCCTTGCAGGTAGAAGGTCACTGGTTTGCGTCCCAGTGAGGACATCCGGGATCTTTCTGAGTGGAGTTTGTATGTTCTCCCCGTGCAGCGTGGGTTCTCTCCGGGTTCTCCAGCTTCCTCCCACACAGTCCAAAAACATGTTGAGGTTAATTGTCTAAATTGTCCGTAGGTGTGAATGTGAGTGTGCTTGGTTGTCTGTCTCTAAGTGTAGCCCTGTGATAGACTGGTGACCTGTCCAGGGTGTCCCCTGCCTTCATAGGCTCCAGCCCCCCACGACCCTCGTGAGGATTAAGCGGTGTATAGATAATGGATGGATGGGAGTTTCTATTTGCCCGATATTGGCATAAAAATGTAAAATCTGTCAATATCGCTATCGGGTTTTTTTTGTGCCTATAATGAAAACCAATAAAAATAATTTACCGGCACGCAAAAGATGACGACAGGAGATATGTGATGTTACCTAAAATTTGTTAAATAGAATAAATTAGAATTAGAATAAAACTTTATTGATCCCTTCAGTGCAAGCCTCAGAGAAATTACTAAATTGCTATATATGGGCTATATATACAGTGATCTGTCTCATTCTGAAAAGCCAGTTTTTAAAAAACCAACATGGCTCAGTTCAAATTTTTTTCTTAAAACAGAACATATATATAGCTCATATATATCGATATCGGTTGATATCGGTATCGAAAATTGAGAGTTGGACAATATCGGCATATTGGATATTGGCAAAAAAAAATATCAGACATCCCTAGTTTCTTTTTATTTTTTTGTAAGTAGAAAGCTTTCTGTGAATCTTTCTGGTAAACCTTGTTCTTCTTCTGGCTCCTTAGATGCCGCAGAAGCAGAAGAAGTCTCAAATGGACCGTCCACAAGTATTAACTCTCATAATGAAATTTTCACACATATGGACACATGGACACACACACACACACACACACACACACACACTGTCCAGGACACTGGTTCAGTCGTCTGCCTTTCTTGTCTTCTATCTGCACCTTTCCCCTAACATCAGCACTCCATCTTATAACATCTTTCCATCAGCCCCCCTCTGAGCGCAGAATGGCTTTACCTCTCTCCGCTTCACTGTCACAACACACACACACACACACACACACATAGACCGGTGTTGCTGGCTCGCTCATTGGCTCATAGGTCTTTGTCATGCTGTCACAGTGACATTTGACATTTTCACGCAGCTTCCCAAAATGTCAGCTAATTATCTTCACGCCATGCACCATATCCCCTCCTTCACCTCTATATTTCACCCTGGCTGTCACAATAGTATTTCTCTTTCTGCAGCACATGCTCACGCAAATTCATACAGGCTTTTTTTTTTTGTTTTTTTGGTAATGATGTGTAACGTTTTAACAACATTTTCTTGCTGCCTTTATAGGTTGTAATTTTAACAAGCCTGCGAGCGTGGAGCGGACAGTGGTGAACATCAGCGGTTGATTCAACGGCTACCACGGTGCAGCACATTCGTTGTCCTCATTATTTTCTCAAACTTGATGCATTTTGACACTTCTTTCCTTTGCAGCTATTAACTGCTATGTGTAATGGATGTAAAGGGAAATAACAACAGGACCAAATGAATAAGAAGCCTAATGATATCCTCACTGTCTCTACTGCACACACACACATATGCCTGTATATTTGTGGTCCTTACAACTTTAAAACGGAGACACGTTAAACCACTGGTATCTGAGAGAACATAAAACTATACAGTGGTTCAAAAAAAAAAGAAAGAAGTGGCTTAAAGTTTACATTATAGGCAAGAATCCTTGTCTAGTTTTCATGTCAAGAGGGGTCACAGGTGTCAGATGAGACAAAGTACTGTAACAATACGACATTCAGATATTTTGCAGAAACGACATTTTACAGGAAGTTTTCCATTGTGGATTGTGCCTTTTAAGTAACCAGTACTTCAGTGGGTGTAATGTCCAGTGCAGCATCCACCTTATTTTTAAACATTACATCAAAAACTAAAGATATATGATGTATTGTTAGCGAATTTTGCAAATTAAAAAAAATAGGTTCATAGGCTACAACTGGCTAAAAATATAAAGTATTATATGAATAATGTTTTTTTTTTTTATTATTAGAATCTTTAGGCTATACATAGCAATGCTATTGTTGTTAATATTGTGATGAAATTAGGTATTTTTCTTTTACCTTTGCTCACTGTGCATATGAAACTGTTAGCTGTCTCCACCATTAAATGAGTTTCTTGAGGTTTGTGTGTTTGTGTTCTTGTATATGTCAGGTAGCATAGAAAACAAATGAGACAAATATGGGCAACATGGTGATGGATTTCTATCTGAAATATGCTTGTGGCTCAAATAACAACAAATATTCTAATGTAACACAGCAGGGTAGCAAGATATTGTTTCAAGTTGACCATAATTGGCTGAGTTGGAAAAATGCTCAAAGAATGATTCAGAAAATACCAAGTGCAAAAGTGACGTGTTTACAAGCTTTGTTTGACAGCAATTAAGAAACTCTGCTCTTCAGAGGGAGTCTCATTATTTCAAATTGGAAAAATTTCAAAACCTCAACAATGACTTAGATGGATTTGGGGAAGATTTAACAAAAAAAATAAAGAATCAGGAGGTGCTCACTGCAGTGTGAGGAAGGAAATGAGTTGATGCTTGAAATACTGGCAAGTCAGGTAATGATGTATTGATTAGTGAGAGGAAGAATATAAATTGTCACTTCAAAATATTGGCATAATTCTTTTGCATTTTTACATATATTACAAGTGAAATAGTTTCAATAAAATGTACAATATGTCTAAAATATATGGAAACTGCCAACTACATATTAACAGAATACTGTCGCAACTTTACTATTTTATGATTTTGTTTAAGCTTTGAGGGGAAAAAAAGCTAAAAATTATCTTTCTGATTTTGACTGTACAAGCTTTAATCCTATTGAGGACTTTTGGGGATTTTTGGACCATTTAGTTTAGATGGAAGGTATTATTTTTTTTATTTTTGCAGATTTTTTTTAAATATAAAAAGAGGCACACTTGTCATGCATTGGAACCAAAAATACATCAACTTATCAGAAAATTATTCAACATGGTATAAAGGTTTATAATAAACACCAACAAATATTTTGCACATATTCTTTCTTGGGGTCCAATGAAAGACCTTCTACGTATGTCAACATGAACAGGGTTAAATACAAAGTCATGTCTGCCTTGCCATTGCACATTATGAGAAGTAAGGTTCCTTTAATGCAGTTTCAAAGAAGGAACAAGAAGCAATTTCTGGGTGTGCAAAATTTGTAATCATAAAGCCTCCTAGTATGACTTTAACTACAACTTAGAACAGCTTTAAGTAATTACAGTCTCTCTTTCTGCTGCTAGATCAGCGTAAAAGGCATCAAATCATCAATTACCTCTATTTTATAATTATTAATAAAAGATAAGCTCAAAGATGAGTGTCTGTAAGCGTCAGGCTTTGCTGAGCAGCTTCACTTACATCCAGGTGCTGTGAAGTTGTTGTGGGTTCAGTTGGAGGGAAAACAGTAAATTAAAGGTACACTCCATTGTAGAGATTTTGTTGCCAGACTTCGCAGCTCATTAAAGGGGATGTCGAAGCCGCCACTGTGCAGGCGGAGGACCCTTTGCGATCTGGCGAGTTTCCTCTTCGCATTATAAATCAGACACTGTTTTAAAAAGACGAAACGAGATCGGATACACATGTTAATTCAAATTTACTCAATAATATGTGATAGCTCGGATTTTACGTGGCCTATTTCGAAGTTTAAAGACAAATACGTGTGATTTTTCATCAGGCGTTCTCGGAGGACACCCGATTCTAGCCCCAATGCATTGTGGTGCCTTCCCCGCTCTTGTGTCGGGATCCACCGCTAACGTGAAGCTGGTAAGGATAAACTGGTCAGAGCAATTAAAGGGGAAATGTTGCAAGAATATAACTCCGCTTTGGTCCTAAAATCGCATCTAGGGCAATTGTAAACACTTCTATTGCACCGTATCATCACAGACTTTGCACAAGTAGCGCGTTTAGCCTTTTCTTATTGATACTAACTGTGATGTTGCACACATCGCATGGCGAGGGACAGGAAAGGGTTAATTTTTTCCGCCGCCGACATTTTTGTTCGGCGCTCTACGGCAACTTTTTAACTTACATGTGCAACGAGCTGACGCCGTGAATCACCACCGTGTGTCACATTTAGCTCTCAGTGTGCACCGTGCGTGTGTTTTAAACGCGCTGCCGGCCGCACACGGGGACGCTGCGGGCTCTTTGTTGCACGGGGCTGCTTATGCTCATCCCCTCATGCATGGATCGGCGTTTGCTAGCAAGAGCTAGCGCCCAAACCGAAAACTGCATTTTCAGCAAAACAAACAGACGTGGAAGGGGGTAGCTGTCACTTTCTGCATATATGTGTCCAAGCAGAGCTCCCAGCAGTGTATTATGCGGTGCACATGAGATAAAACAGATGTTTACCTCTGCTCATCACTCATATTGTTAGCCAGTGCCTAGGGGTTGAATGAACTTGGAATCGTTTTCTGTCTTGAACACTCCCCCAGTGGCCCCTTCAGCAACGTATAGTAGTTAAAACAACACACCGGGATTATAAGCACAGGTGTTGTTGTGATCTTAAGACACTGCAGGCTTTGCCAAATCCGGAAATGGTTAGATTTGAATGTAATAGTGCACAGTTTTCAAGTTATAACTAAGTTCAGTGTGGGACACTGTGCTTAGAGGCAAAGTCAGACCATCCCACTTTCTTTCTGTGCAACATGAATCTAACAGTGTGGCTGCAGGATGGGCAGACCTGTGGTTGTCAGACTGTGTGCATTGGAATTAGTCTGATTTATGATGATTTACAGTTATAATCACATGTGAAGGTGCGCCTTGTGATACCAATATTTGGCAACACTGAGCTAGACCGGGGTTTCCAGCTAGAGTTTTACTGTACAGCTTAGCAGGCTCGTTGTAATTGTTGGTAATTACTTAATTTATTAGTAATATGGGGGACTGACCCTTTAAGTAGGGCTGTAAAGTGGATCAGTGGCTAGCACTGTTGCCTCACAGCAAGAAGGTCGCCGGTTCGTGTCCCGGTGAGGACACCCAGGATCCTTCTGCGTGGAGTTTGCATGTTCTCCCCGTGCAGTGTGGGTTCTCTTCGGGTTCTCCAGCTTCCTCCCACAAGGTCCAAAAAAATGTTGAGGTTAATTTGTGATTCTAAATTGTCTGTAGGTGTGAATGTGAGTGTGCTTGGTTGTCTGTCTCGAATTAAGCGGTGTATAGATGATGGATGGATGGACCCTTTAAGTAGCTCAGGAAAAGAGATGCAGGTGATGTTGCAAAACCCAATGCCTCAAATACATAATTTTAATAATCCAGATCTACAAACTTCATTTGATAAACAAAACACTGAGCGATGTTTTCTACTCACTAACTTCACTGAAGCTGTATAAAATATGACCTTCCTTCCTTCAAAGTTTGCATTGTAGATGTCAGTGTTGTCTTAAATGTCTATTCTTGTCTCTGAATGTGTTTTTATAGTTTTCTTTCAGGTCCTGTCAACTTTTCTCTGTCTTTTGTTTGTTTTGTTTTTTTCATCTGGTTGTATTATTTATTTCAGCTTAGATTGTGCTTGTCTTCCTGCGTCCCTCTTTAGTGTTCATTTGTTATCTTGGCTTTTGTGTGTGTTTATTTATTAGAGGTTAGTAATATAGAAAGATTTCTCCACGGCCTTGCAATTTCTGCAATGAGCAGTTATGAGATTTGACTGTTGTTTCAGCAAAAAAAAAAAAGGAAACAAAAAAAACTACTGAGATCCAGATTCATTCATAAAACTCTGAGACTTATAGTCTTGTCCTAACACCGCCTCTGATTATACGTAACCACAACTTGTCTGGTTTCTCTGTCAAGTGTTTCCTGAGTTGTCCTTGTCCCAGATCATTCATTTAATAACCAGATGAAACTCATAATATGTTTAAATCAGTAGCAGTGAGTGTAACAGAAACAGGTTATAGAGAAACTTGAATGTGGGGTTTTTCATTTTCAAATATTATTCATTGTTGTGCATTTCAAACTAATGCAGTCCCCACCTTACAATACATAAATAGATCTATATATATTTTTTCTTATCAAACTGACGTAATTTTTTAAAAATTCCTAAAAATGAAAAGAGCATTGATTTAGTTTTATACTTTATTGTTTACATGCATAATTCTGAATCATCTAATGCATTCTAATACATCAGACCTGCACCTGATGTGTTGTTTAACTTAATGTTGAGACCATGTCAGAGTTGTGGATTTAATTCCAGTCATGTTCGTAGCCGTAGCTTCGGGGATAGCTTTGCTCTGATTGGCCTGTACCTGGTATTATGTCAACAAAACTTTGTGACTCATTCGTACATGTTGATTAGTCTATGTAGGTATTTCTGTGGCATGAGCTGAGATCATTGGTCTGTTAATTAGATTAGAAACAGAAAATTTATCCTCAAATGTTCTGCGGATGGATTCACTGTTTAAATCATTCTGTTTACAGCTTCTCATTTGTGAGGATGTCAGTTGGTCAAAACAAGGAACACTTAAAGGTGAATCAATGGATTAACAAAGAATGTTTATGGTTGGCAGATTGATGTAAAATGAATAATTGATCGTTGTAGCCTGAAAAAATCATCCGGGGTGAAGCTTTCTGACAGCATCTAATAAAGAAATAAAAGTTTGTGAAGGAACTTTGCATTCGGTCCCTCCAGTGTTTCTAATCACCTGTTTTGTTGTTCTCTCCTGTTCATTGATGTGATTCTAGTGGTGAAGACCCAGAGTTTCTTCAGACATGTCCGTGAGGGAGTCTTTTAACCCCGAAAGCTATGAGCTGGACAAGAACTTCAGGCTCACACGCTTCGCTGAGCTCAAGGGCACAGGCTGCAAGGTTGGCTGTTCTATTTAAAACCTGCCTTGGATGAATTATTGTCTTTGCACTGCTTCAAAAGCAGTTTGCTTAATTAGAAATACGCTGTAAATAATAATGTGAAAATCGTTTTTTCTCTGATCGCAGGTCCCCCAAGATGTGTTACAGAAGCTGCTAGAAACTTTACAGGAGAACCACTATCAGGAGGATGAACAGTTCCTGGGGGCAGTTATGCCTCGATTAGGTAATTCTGATCCTCACATAACACTGTAGTAGCAGATGAGTGCTTTTCAGTAATAATGCTTCACTAAATAACACGAGCTCTTCTGGCCACATGAGGAAAAACTTGGGAAATGTTTAGTATAATAAATATTTGAAGATGAGTCAAGTCAGCCATAAAAATGCCTAAATGGGACACTCCTCAAGGTGTGTCAAGAACTCACATTTGCATTTGAAACTGGTTTTGTGGTGGAACTGTAAACAAGGTGGCTTCACATGGAAATGTAAGCGTGTGTCTTCTCCCACAGCAGAGCGACGCTGTGGTAAATGCAAGGCCAAAAAAAAAGTCCACTCTGAATTAGGAGAAAGTCTTTGAGGCAAGAAGTACATCAGAGCACAAGACTTGTCGTTGCTTTATATTTATTAAGTAAAGCCTGGCGCTGAGCACTTAAAATAAAAGTTGTGGATACATTAAAATAAGGGTTGATTTGATTCCTTTGTTTCTTTCTCCATGAAAGCCCAGCAGTCAAATGCTCCACAGCACTGGATCCAGTGTTATGTCACACACCAAGCGAACATAAAACTGTGTAAAACATCACATTGAATGCTGTGTTGTTCTTCAAGGCATAGGCATGGACACCTGTGTGATCCCCCTCAGACATGGAGGCCTTTCTCTGGTCCAGACGACAGATTACATCTACCCTATTGTAGATGACCCCTACATGATGGTACGGATCTCCTCTTTCATTTTCTTTTTCCTCTAATGTGGCCTTTTAATTATATGTGCATGTAAGAAATGGAATAATGTCACAAACCCAAATCCTGTGTGTGCTTAACTTGAGTGTTTCTGTTTTATAGGGAAGAATTGCTTGTGCCAACGTTCTGAGTGACTTATACGCCATGGGGGTAACAGAATGTGACAACATGCTGATGCTTCTGGGAGTCAGCAACAAAATGTCAGAAAAAGTAAGAGACATTTCACTTCAGTACTATTCCTGAGAATCAAAATTAAAAACATGTTACTCGGGCTGCTGCTTTAGCTCACCTGATCGAGCTGGTGAACCATGTACAGGAGCTATAGCCGCCGATGCAGCGGCCATGGGTTCGAATCCCACTCATGGAACTTTGCTGCAACGGCTTCCCCCGTTCTCCTCCCCCACTTTCCTGTCTCTCTTTCAACTGTCCTATCCAATAAAGGCAAAAAGGCCAAAAAAATAACTTAACAAAACAGACACGTTACTCGATAATTAAATAAGGGAACAGTTTAGTGATGTCTCGCTCAAGTTTTCTCATTTATTTTTTTTGCTCTGATCTGAGTGCCTCAATATTCAGCAACCTTGACACTGATAGCTGATGTTTATATTTAACTGCACATTAAAGTAAACAGTGAAGAAACAGCCTTCTAACACATCGTTTAACTGGAAGGACGCAAATCTTCCAATTAGCTGTGACAGTCTGCAGCGTAAATTTGTTCACTTGTTTTGATTGAATTCAGCAAATGTAATAAAAGGTTGTCTGCAGTGATAAAGGTTTTGAATTCTGCACCATGGATTGCCCTTTTTTCTATAGCAGTTGTGCTAGAGGCTCATGGGTATTGTAGTATTTTGACCCATCCACAGTGTCAACGTATTGGACAAAATGTAATTTCTCAAAGTTGAAACAATCAAAATTTGGTGGCAGCAGCATTAACCTGTAGGACTGTTAAAGTATTCAGTGACATTAAAGAAAACATTTTAGAAAAATGAAAATACAGAAAGCTCATGTCTGAAATCACTCAGGATGCTGCTTCTTTATAGAGGTTTGTATCGTAGTAAGGCAGCATTAGAGCTCCATGGCACGGATAAGAAAGCGAAATCAGCCTTTGGACACACAGCCAACATTTGTTATTAGGATTAATTTTCATTCTCCAAAGTTATCCTTTAATTAGCGACAGCTGACATGACAAGCTGTGACTGGTTTGTCACAACAATGAACGTGACGATGAGCGCCGGATAAAATGAGAAGCTGCTTCCTGGAGGTTTTTGTACACTGATCATTTTTAAAGACACGAGAAGTAACAGATTTGGTAAGCTCAGTGATTTAACCATTTCTTGGCAGCCAGGGTTTTAGTCGGTCTGTCAGCAGTGTGACCATGTAATGTCTCACATTCACACGCTGTGTTTTTTTACCGTCATGCACAGTGACATGCATTAACATTAACGCAGAGGACACACAGTAGAGTACAGTACTGAAGAGACTGGAGAATTATCTGCTTCATTTCAGCCAATAGCGACCTATTAAATTCTGCCTGTGTCTGCCCGAGTACTGGCAGACAATCAGCTCTGGACATCCTTAATTGTTCTAATTGTATTGTTATATGCTCTCACTGTCTGATCTGACATCCCTGGGTCTTCACAGGAAAGAGACAAAGTCATGCCGCTGATCATCCAGGGGTTCAAGGATGCGTCGGAGGAGGCAGGAACGTCCGTAACAGGAGGACAGACGGTGCTCAACCCCTGGGTAGTGATGGGAGGAGTTGCCACAACAGTTTGCCAGCCCAATGAGTTTATCATGTAAGAATGAGTTTCTCCTACATATTCCCTTTCTTTGGCTGTTCGTGTCTCTGATATGCTTAAGAACAATGTAATGATGATGTCATGTCTGACGTTTCTCAGGCCAGACAATGCAGTGCCAGGAGACGTGTTGGTGTTAACCAAACCACTGGGAACACAAGTGGCTGTCGCAGTACACCAGTGGCTAGATATTGTAAGTCTGCCTGCTGAAAACTTTTTTAGAAACTTGGTCTGTTTTAAGGATACCCACTGATGCCACTGGTTGTGTGCTTTTCTTGATCTCTCAGCCTGAAAAATGGAATAAGATCAAGCTAGTGGTGACCCAGGAAGACGTAGAGCTGGCCTACCACGAAGCCATGATTAACATGGCTCGGCTCAACAGAACAGGTAAAGCCATGATGAAGGTGTCCAAAAACTGATGCGGAGTCATTACTGTCTTCTTTGCATATGTGCTTTAAACATTTGGGTGTTTCTTCATTAGGTTGCCATGTTAAGTTGACCATAATCCCCTCAGCTGTTTTGCAGAGAGGTGCTGAATTTTGTGAACTGCAGCAGCCTCTGCAGCAGCTTGTCTGTACTGCATCCTGTGTGATCAAGTAGCTTCTGATAATAATGTCAAATT